TTTTTTTGTGTAACAAAGAAATTACAGTATGTCAACTACATTTCTAAGGGGATTGTTTTCCACTGCCTCTGCTTCTGCTACTATTTTCAACTCAAAGTTCAAATCACTGTGAAGGAAGTTTTACAATAATGAGTTTGACCACATAAGAAATGCTTACAAAGCTTAAACTGGGTCAATTAGTATTCATAGCTTTAGAAAGTAACACTGTTTCCTTGGAAGGCAGACTGTATTTATCTATATCTCTTTTACACTACAGGTGATTGATTTTTTTTGCTTTGTTCTTGCCCATGTGTGACTTTTGTTAAAAAAGGATGACATGACTGTATTGGGAACTTTGAAAATGCTATTGTTTTGTTTTATAACTAGGTATTTAAGGAAAATTTTCAGTTTGTCGACTTGAAAGAAACAAGTCAAAAAATTCCAAGTGCATCTTATAACTGAGTGCACCTTATAGCCGAAAAAAATTATGGTATATTGCTTATTATTTTTACCTGCACAGGATTCCCTTGCTTGTCAACAATTCCACCTCCCATACTCCATTGCTTGTCAGTATATTGCACCTTAGTGCCTTCAAATGAATGTCCTTTAGAGATTTCCTCACCACATGTTGTTCTCTCTTTACTCAAAGTCAATGTCAAATTTTGTTGAGTAGACTTCTTGGCAGAGAAAACATCATTCAATGGACCAGTGGTATCTAAGTCAGAATCCTCAAACAAATCATCCAGACTAAGTGAAAAAAAGTTTCTCTCTGAAGGACTGTTAGCAGCAGCAGATGTCAAACTTTTATTCCCAGACAATTCCTGTTGTTTTTCCAGTAATGTTTCCTTATTGGCTACATCTGGGCCATTTTCAGAGTGAGTTGTTTTAGCAAATGGTACTGATTTGTTGCCATTAGCATTGTTCAAAACTGAATTTCTTTCAGCAACTTCAATGCCACCATTTTCAGCAATATTTCCAGGAATCTCTTTGAAAGAATTAACCAATGTTTTGTCAATATTATACACTGATTCATTCATTTCAGCCAAGGTCTTGTCACTTAATGACTCACAGAGTGCTTTAGACGGCAAAATATTTGACTGGAATGAGTCTTTATTATTCAAAATTCCTGAGTTTTTCTGTAAGGGGGAAAATAAACATAACACAGGAACATCATCTAATGATTCAGCATTTTCTGTTGATTGAGTAGAAGATTTTAGTGCATCTTTCCCTTGGTTGCTTTGACTTGTTGGTTCATGACAAGATGATTCCTCCAGCAGCAAATCTTTCTCCTTGCTTGAAGTACTTGTGGGGATTCTATTGCCAGTTGTACCAAAAATGTTTGCTAGCTTACTATGGTTATTGTCAATATCTTGTTCCTTGTTTTGCATGTTATCATGTACAACGTTGCTGTCCAATTGAATAATCATGCCTTGTTGATTGTTTATTGCTCTAGCATCCCCAGATGTCTTGGTTCTTATCTCCCCATTCATACTACAAGTGTTAGTAATGTCACCAAGTTTATCAGTAGCAACTATTCTGTTCTCTAGAGCAACATCACAACTAGGGAGTGTGTTGTTCTCCTCTGAATAAAACTCATCCAACAGCTTTGTCAAAACTGTCATTAGTTCATCTTGGTTTGTTAACATCACACTAGTTTTGTTGGGTTCCAGATTGACGTCCAGGCCTTCAGGAGGTATCGTGATGCTTAGGAAAGCAACAGGGTATCTGTTTGATGCAACAGGTGCTTGTCTGTTGTAGTATTGCTTGATCAACTGTGATTAAAAACATAAAATTAGTATAAAAACCTGTAGCTGCAGTTTGTAAAGCTTGTCTTCAAACTCATTCTGAAGCATGAAGCTACAGCTGTACCAAGTGCATAGCTACCAGTAATATTTGCATGGGAATAATCCTTATACTCTTGTGCAAAATTATACTATTTCCAAAAATTAACACCATCCGAGATTTCCACAACATTTTCCTCAAGCAACAGAAGTTTTCTTGTTGTTTCCACAAAGTTATTATTATGAACTGAGACAGTGCTTTTGTGATATATTCTTATCAAAATTCACTGGTCAGCATTTTGATAGAAAGGCTTAGAGATAATTTTTTTAAATTCTGATTTTAACCCCTTGACCACTAAGAGTGACCAGCATATAATTTCCCCCTATCATATCACCCATGAATCATACATTTAGGTCACGAGAATAAAGAAATGATCACTGACAAAAGACGCCCTTGATTGCTAAATAAATTCTCCTTGTCTGTACAGAGATCAGTATGGAGAAAATACATACTGATGTTAGAGTGTAAAAGGTTAACCCTTTAACCACTGCAAGTGATTAGCATCTAATTTCTCCTTACAATATCACCTCCAAAATCACACATAAAGGTTACAAGAAAAAAAGGAAATGATCACCAATGATAGAAGCTCTTGATTGTTAAACAAATTCTCCTTATCAGCACCTTAGGGAATGTATTAAGAACAGTATGGAGAATATGTCTACTGATGTTAGGGTGTAAAGGGTTGATACTGTATTCACAACGAACTTTTCACCCAGATAGTTTACTAGTACAGGAGTTAATCGTACTCCTTAGCAGCAAAAAGTAGTTTAAAATTTAAATTTCTTTCACAAGAACAGATCATAATGGCCCGCAAAGAGCTTGAAGCTGAACTATCCAATAACCTGTTGTTCAATGATTCAAAATATTTTTTAAACTATATCTAGCAATAAAGATGCATTTTCTGTACCTGAGATATTTGTTTCATGTAAACAGGCCTTCCATTAAAAAATATAAAACATCGATCATTCACTGCACGTCCTGTAACTTCCATATCAGATCCTGGCCTTGGAAGGTATCCAAGTATATGAATGCCACTCTCTTCATCATCATGATATTCTACTGAACCCATTTGTGCCAACAAAGATGTTCCAAACACAGTCAATAATGCTGTTCGCTCATCTGCAACTTTACTCTTCTGCCAGATGACTGCCTTGTTATGACGCAAAATGATCCTCAGAGATGGACGTATAATTGCATATGCCATCACCAAGTCCTCCACTCTTTTCAACTCTTCTTTACATTTTTTGGTGTTGCTTGAAAATTGTTTTCTCACGGGGAGGTTTTTAAATAAATTTGCTGCTGTAACTGTTGTCCCAGTTGTCGTAGGTTTTGGTTTGGTGGCTACAATCTTCCCATCACGTTCTAATGTGTACAACATGCCAACTTCTTCAAATTCTGTTTTTGTCAAAATAGACAAATTGCTGACAGATGAGAGCGAGGCTAGAGCCTCACCGCGGAAACCGTATGTATGCAGGGATTTCAAGTCATCATCAGTTAAAATTTTTGACGTGTAATGGGGTTTGGCCAAGTAGGGAGCATCATCGGGTTTCACACCAGAACCATTATCTCGAACTTCAATTCTTTCCAATCCCCAGCCGTCCTGAAAATAGATAAAGTAAGAGCTACCAGTAAAAATTTTGCTTCAAAGGTAATCATCAAAACAGCTGTTAGACACTCAAATACCCTTGAGGGTAACAAGGAAAGATTGTCAACCAGTAGTTTTTCCTCTAGGGAGAAAATAGTTGCAATCCAAAACCAAACAAACTTATTCGCAAACTGAACCTTGGTCGAGAGCGATATATACTTTTAATTAGTTAACTTCCCGGAGAACAAATTGATCTCACTTACATGTAGCTTATTAATTTATTTGATGAACGAACATGTACAACATGGATTTTCCAGTAATGAGAAAAAAAATATATTACAAATGCAATCAAAAATGAGCCAAAAAAAAGGAATCTTACCAGTTTGATTTCAATGCTTGATGCTCCAGCATCAAGAGAATTCTCAATCAGTTCTTTCACTACTGAGCTAACGGAGGTTATCACTTGTGAACTAGCGATCAGCCGAATCGTAGATGAAGGTAAAAGATTCATTGCATTCTAGTTTGTACCATGAGTTCTGCGAAAGTGTCGTTTATTTTTTAGACCTTTAGATTCATTTACTTGCTGACAATCTCTTCGCAGGCAAGTCTGTGCTGCTTGCCGCCATATTTGATCTTGAGCGGGAAAACGGTCGAATTGTGTGACTTGTCTTCGGATAACCCTCGTCATTTCCTACGAACATATACGGACCTTTACGAACATTACCGGTAACTTATCGGACAGAGTCAAATGACAGAAATAATAGATACATTAATATTGACGGGAATTGTTGACTTCTATCATATTCCATAATGACGCATTAACAATAAGCTAGGCTCAATATCCAATCAAAGAGAGTTTTTTCTGTCGTTTAATTTACACAAGGGAATAAGCCCCAGGGGACGATTATTCACATCAAGTGAAGTGGTTGTCAATGGTGATAGCAGGGCAAAGCGGACTCACAACACTCGATCGCACTTCAAAAGATAGATTTCACCCATTTCCTCGAGTTGTTTTCTTATGAAAGCAATTTACCGCTGATTTGTTTCAAGGTACAACTACCTGTTTTGTTTAGAGTTATAACCGAAGGAAAACGATTGTTCTAAAGCGAACGATTGTGCGAAAAGTCACGAATTTCAGTTCAGTCGAAGGGGAGTCGTTCCATGGACCACGCTAATTTCTGCTGTGTTTTATTTAGATTTTGAGGAACAAGGAAAAGCAGAATGACTGCCCCAAGGATGTATACAGCCGAAACGGAAAAACTGTTGAAAGAAAAAGGGCTGCGATGTGTCTGTGAGTTATGCGATTGTGGGTAAGTGAATTGCAGGTGAAACAAGCATCTCTAAATGTAATTAAGACTTTCGTCCGACTGAGATGAATTATTGATTCTGCAACAGCCCTATATAATGCAACCAGCTGTTTCATTGTACTTCACACAAAAGGAATGAAAATTTTCGCGATAAATGAATTTAACAGTGCTAAAGGACTTTAAATTTTGACTGCGAAGATGTTGAAGTTACCAGCCGCAGGAATGCGAGTTGTCACGACTGGGTTTGCACGCGCATTGACGATGTGGGCACAAGAGATTTATTTGTTTATTCGTTTATTCATATTTTCTGTGCGTCTTCTGAAACATTGTTTAGAGGTTTGTTTATGTAGAAAGAGAAAATGTCATTCGTAAGGTTAAAACAAACTTATAGCGTACATTTATTTAAAGGTCGAAGGGGTTACACCATAATATTCTCAAAATGGTCATAAAATGTCCTCGATGTTGCTTCCAGTTAACGGTTTATTTGAGATACTATCATGAATCAACTTGTAGTATAAACAGAGCGTTATTTTATATCATGAGTTTCATGATATCGGTTGTTATTATATGAAACTGATTGAATACTTCGAGAGTCTCGATTTACTCGTTGCTGTTGTCGGGCTTCTCACATATCACGAGTTTGTCCACGGATTGTTCCACAGAGGAAAATATTGAGATTTTAATTAACTTCGTTCAAAACTCCTGGAAGTCGCATTATTTGAATTTTTGAGATGAATTGCTCTCTGAAAATAGCATCTGAGAAAATTTTGAATATCAACAATGAGGTTTCTTCGCAATGAAGCGTAGATTATTTGTCACGAAAGGCTGATATGACGACGCGCGAAACACATTGTCGCGCGTGGAAGAGGAGAGGAAAGATGGTTTTTTTTTTTTTCTTCTGAGATCCAAGATAGACATGCAACGTATTTCTATTTTGAGAACACGCAATAGCTCCATTCTTTTTTTCGGCTGGCAAAATATTGAGGGGTGGGAGTTTGAAATCCTCTCAACTGACCTGTGCTTTAAACTACTGTTGAAAAAAAAAATGTATGAATAAATGAATGAATGAATTAAGGAATTCTGGGGAAGAAATAATGAGTAGAGACCATAAAAAGGTGTCACATCCTGTCGACTAGCCACGATATACTGCTTGCTAGGACATAGGTCAAGGTCCGTGAGGGATATAAAATTATACTTATTTACAGTGTAACTATTTCTTAGTTTTTCAATATCTTCTTTTTTTTTTCTCATCGTTAGCGGATACCATCCTCACATTGGCTGCACAAAAGAGCCACAGAAAATGAAATCAGTATTTAAGCGACCGGGGCTGGCAGATGCAAAGACTAACTATCAAAACACTTACACTTCACATGATGGAGCGAAACCTCGCAATACAAGAAAGCCACTCCCGCGCCTTAGGAACCCGAACCCTCCCCCTATGGACTTCAGAACGGTTCAGAGAATGGAGTTTATCCCAAGGAAACCTGAACCACAAGGAAGCTGTAAGGTAATAAGGGAGTTTTAAGCTTGGGTTTAATGATGACATAACATTGCTGGTTTCACCATGTTCCTGTTGATTATATTAGGCTGAAGTCTTAGCTATGGTGTGAGTGTAAAAATGACGCGACCAAAAACGAGCGAGTGATTTTGAGCCAGTTACGCGAGTAATAACTAAGATTTAATCGGGTTTGAATGAGAATTCGCACGCGACTGCCTAAATGCTTCCTGGCACACATTCCACACGCAAAGTGTTATAAATCACCAAGTTTTTTGCGCTTTCTGGATCTTTCTCACACCTGTACGTTACCTTAACTTGAGACGCAAGTAGTAAACGCTTCTCATTCAAATCTCCTTATTTCGATAGATGATGGATAATTACAAGCCACCTGACGAGAAACTGGACGGAAAGACAATCTATGCGCAAGAGTTTGTAAACCGAGGCCCTCCAGAGGTGGTGAAGATAACGCGACCAAAGACAGTCACGCAAAACCAGGGACTGAAATTTCAGTCGGCTACCACTCACAACCAAACGTTCACACCCAAAGTGCCCAGCCCCCAAGCACCGTTTGGCGAACTCCCTTGTTACACGGGGGGAATCCTCTATCCTGAGAAAAACGGCAGATATGACGTAACAACCTGGAATCAAGACGTCTACCGCGGTAAATTTGCGGCGCGCCCCGACGCCTTCAAGCCTAAGGAAGCGCAAGTGACCATTGGTATTGAAGGAGATCACCTCTTACAAACGGTTCATAGGGATGCTTTCAAGA